ATACAATACAGTGGTGCCTTCTTACAGAAGTGAAGTACGTGAAGCACTAGGCTGGCATTGCACGGCATAGTTACGAAGCAAGCTCTCAAAAACGTGCATTGCCACACCGACACTATATAAGAGCAAATAACTGCTAATCGGCCCGTAAATCGGAAAGCCTGGCAAGGAAAAAAAAAAAGGCCTTACGGCGGGAAGAACGCGTAAGTCACTGCTGGGTGAGTTCGAATACGATAATGTAGGGGCTGAATGATTTTGGTTACGACACGTACCGGTGCTCTCTGCTGTTGCACAAAAACACTCCACGATGTACTTCAGCACGTCGCGCTCGGGCCTGCTATGCACGAATGGTCTTAGAAAGGTGTGCTAGCAAGATTTTACTGCATGCAAACCATACAATACGAGTTAAGTTTTCCGCCGGAGCTATAAGTCCACGCAGAAGCGAACCAGCCTCTCCTCAGTTTTTTCCTTCCTCCATGACTAGATCTTTTGTTGCCCTTCCTGTAGAGCTAGGTCAGTGTTCTACGCGCTCACGATAGGTCTCGATTAGGAGAAGGAGCATTTAGGTACACTTAGGAAGCGACTTGAAATATGTGGTCAAACACACATGGTGCTTGCTGTAGCCTTGAAATTCGATGGCACCATACCATCACGAGTGTCAGCTTGTGCACAGTTGACACTCGCAACACGTTGTTCAACAACTAAGAAGTAACAACTGGGACAGTAGTTAATTTACACTGATTCTGTGGATACAAGTGTGTTATCTTCGAAGACTGTTCTTGGTTTGTTTAAGCAACACGCTTCCAGTGTCGAGCTATGACAGTAGCTCATCAGCACTCGTCCTGTGCGCTTTCTTTTCATGGGTCCGTGCTTGAGCGGCGCATCGCATGTATGGGGTTTCTTGCCTTACTTCGTGCGACATTCTAGTTTCTTGCTATCACATTCACTGCTTCACCCTCGCCAGAAACTATTTTTTTCACATCCACTTTTGCAAAATGGGATCATGTGCAACCACGCCGCATTAATACTTCAGAAATGAGGAGCTTGACAGGTTCACACACCGATGTACCATATTTAGGAGGTCACGATGTCGATATGACAGTGCACTGCTCAGGAAATTCAAGGACTTTCAAGGATTGCGATAAATTCCAGGACTTTCAGGGGCCTTGAAAATGCACTTTTGAAATTCAAGGGTTTTCAAGGAATTCAAGGACCTTTACGAACCCTGTATCAGGCATGTGAAAGCGATGAAGGAATCACGTGCATGCGACGGATCACATTAGCAGCAGACTGCCGGGCCAAGCTCACTGTGCAGCAAGTGCTCGGAGCACCAGTGGAAGCGGCTAGCAGTTTCACACCGTGACGACCCAAAGAGCATGACCAAGCACCTCACACTCCAATTTATCATCACATTTATTTTACGTAAGTTTGAATGCAAATCGAAAAGCAAACACCATTTGAAAACTACTTATTAAAGGGCCCATAAATCACCTCAGATATTCTTGCAAACATTTTAAGCAAGCGCACGCATCGTATGCAGAATGCCGTTGCAATCAATTCTACTCGTGGCAGCGCCACGAGCCGCCGGTGCGCCACAAATTCCAGAAAACAATCGCTCCTTCTTTCCGGGGCTTTCGGGCCTCTGCGTGATGCGCCGTTGCATATCCCTGACGTGCCGAGCCAAACATGCTGATTGGTCAAGCAAGAGCCTACGACTTTCGGTCAGTCTGCAAGTAGCTGTCCGTGCTGCTTGTTCTTGTTCGTCGTGTTGCCCACTGCACGCATGTCCCCATACGGGTTCGTCGCGTTGGCGATCCTTTGAAGGCGTGCGCACAACGCAGAGTCCATACCGGCACGATTATGGCACCTACGGTTTGCCAACAAGCACGCAGCTACAACGCAACTGACGGAGTCGACGGTCGGAGTCGCGGCAACCGGATGCAGACGATGTTTCAAGCAGCGCGTCAGTGATGACGTACCGTATAAACCGGACTATAGGTCGAGTGGGAATATAGGTCGACCCCCCAAGTTCAGGTTACCAAAAAAGAAAAAAAAGAAGAAAAACAACCCAAAACTGCCAACCACATTTATTTGTGAATTGGGCGCACCGCACCCCAATCGTCGGAGCTCCCCTCAACCACCATCGCAACTGCTCCTATTCATCCGACGAGGCACCACTGTCTTCTGAAGACGAGAGTTTGTCGCTGGCCGCCTCCCACAGTGCGTAGTCTTCAGTGCCATCCAGCGAGTTGCTGATGCAACATTTCTTGAAAGCATTTTCCACCATGAAATCCGGCAAGGAACGTCGGGTGGAAAGCACCCAGCCACAAACAGTCGCAAGCGGAGGCCTCTGTAGGCAGCCCGTCGGTGTCTTGGGGTTGTCGCCGGGCATCCACTCTTGGTATTCCAGCCGCACTCGTTTCTTGAACGGCTTGTTTAGCACAACGTCGAGCGGCTGGAGGGTGGGCATCATACTACCTGGTATCACGGCGAGGTCCGTTTTCCCGTCGCCGAGTGCGCGTTTCATTGCGTCGGTTAAGTGGCCACAAAATGCCTCCAACACCAGCATGCTGAGAAGACGCAGCAGTGCACCTGGCTGACGGTTTCACACCCCTCTTATCCATTCGAGTATCATGGCCTCGTTCATGTATCCCTTTTTGTTGACACGAACACTTCTTTCGGCGTTGTCTTGTGTTTGAAAATGATGAAGTGCAGAAGCTTTCTACCATCTGCCGTGCATGCCAGCATGACGGTGAAGCGCGAGTGCTCGTTGCCAGTGGACTACAGCTTCACATACTTGGCGCTGCGCTGCGTGATCGTGGTCGATGAAGGCATGTCAAATCACACAGGGGTCTCATCGGCGTTGCCACTCTGCCCCATCATGTAGTCGTTCTGCTCCCAAAGACGGTTCGCGAAGCGCTGAAAGTTTATGAGCTTGTCCTCGAACTCCTCCGGCAACTTTTGACAGATGGATGTGCGCCGCAGGAGAGAAAATCCTTTGCGCCGCATAAATCGACGCACCCAAGAGTTTTGTGCACGAAAATCTTCTCTCGTGAGCCCAGCGTCTCGAACGAGTTCCACTGCTTTCTTGCGGATGGTATCCACAGTCACTGCCAGCGAATGCACACGAACTTCCCACACAAAGTCCGCTAGCTTATCTTCCAGCTGCGGATGAACGGCACTTTGTCCACGAAACGACATTTTTCAAGGATTGCACATCTGCAGCTTCCCTTTCTGCGCCCTCCAACAGTGCACATTTTTTCCTGATACACCAAAGCGGCGCTGAACAGCCATATTCCCGTTCGCTTCTGCAAACTCAACAACATCTAGTTTTAAACGCAGCTGAGTACTGCCTCCTCACACCGCTACTCATATTCAGTGAACGAAAAAAAGGACCACTAAAGATGCATCGCAATGTCAAGCGTAGCGAACAGATCGGAAGCAAATTACGAACACAAAGAAAACAAACGGAGAAAAAAAAACAGCCTGCGATTGGATTTGGAGGCGGATATGGCCGCGTCCGGCTTCTCAAGCACATGCAAGCCACATGTTGCCAGACAGCGGCGCACTTTCGGCTAGACACCGCTATATAAGACGAGGGGCGACTTTAGCTCATTATTTTATTGAAAATATCTCTTATATTCCGGTTTATACGGTATGCCACGCGATATTGGGAGGGGCGCTCGGCGAGAGGGCAAGGTGACTTGAGAGAGGATACCAGCAGAGGGGACCGCAGGAGAGACCGAATGAAGTGATCGAATGAAGTGAATGAGGTTTCGATAATGAAACGTGTCTAACTCCGCTATTACTACACCGTTTCAAAAAATTCGCATGGCTCGGTGTTCGTCATACACTCATGCACGATTTCCACACCACAACTGAATTTTGACCTCTGGGTGGTTTACGGGCCTTTAAACGTACAAACATTCGCACACCTCTACCCACAAGGCATGATGATAAAAAAAAGTTCTGCGGATTAAGGACTGCACTGCAAACATTTCAACGAAATTTCGCAGTAGTGCGCAGTGCATGCAGTTCCCAAAAGCAAGCGGTTGACTTCTTTCGAACAAAGTAGTTAGTCTGGCCACCAGCAACTGTATACTGATGATGACAATGTGATGACAATGAGCAGATTCCCACAGAGTTAACACTAGGAGAGTTTTGACTGGGAATGAACATAGCATTGCTATCAAAAGCAACATTTCTAACACTCCTAGCGAACAATACGAAACCTGAATTTAAACTACCAACCACCAGAAATACTTGGCTATACAAACAGCTTCACAATGCTCCCACTTGCACCATAGACAATGCAAAAAGACAACTCCTTAGTGGCGTGCTGTTCTATACCTTAAAAATACCATGTGCTAATTCTGCAAACCAAGACAGGCCAGAAGAGCAATGCTCAACTGATGTAGATTGCCAGCACCTTGTCAAGACCAGAAGTGGCAAAGATTATACATCTAGTAGCAACGAGGTGTGCCTACAATGTAGGACAAGCCAAGCCACGTCAAGCTGCCGAGCTGTGAAGGGTTCAATTGTATTTCACCATAAAGTGCTTCACGTGCAGAACCCCTTCCTCAGCCAACATTTGCACTTCAGTCTAAGAAAATTTCATTGTTCTCAGTTGTTGAGTAGCAACCTTAATGTAAGGACCAAGAATGATGGCACTAAAACCAGGGAGCGCTGCGCAACTGCTGTTTCAAGGGAGCCTTTGATGGTACGTTGCGAGGAGTGAGTACGCCCATTTTCATCCCTTAACAGTGGCACGATCACGGACTAGCCATGGAAATGAAGGAGAAACCTTGAGGGAACACAATGCCCTTTCCCTAGCTCTCCATTTTCACCCACCACCACTCGGCACTGCAAGATACCCGTTTGCCTGCTCGCAAGAAAAAAAGAGTACTAGTCTCTCTGTAAGGGAGACAGCGCCACACTGGCGAAGTGATAAGAAAGGTTTAAAAGGCACATCAGCGGCCAAAGCAAAGAGCAATGGTCATTACCTTTCAATGCATTCTCACACAATTGTGCACAGGACTCCAGATTAAAGCTGTCCTCCACTTTAATTCGGTCCTTATGAGGCATTGTGCTGCCATTCCTTGAAGATGCCAGCTGCATGTGCAATGAAACAGACACTTAGCAAAATTCACATACGTACAGGAACAATGAAGGCATCGTGAAAAAAAGAAAAGCCGTGGTGAGAACTATTCGTGACGTCTTCCCTGAGTTGCTAACGATAAGAGTGGAGCAGGTAACATCGTCACAAATAATAGCAAGTTTTAAAACGAAAATATGGCAGAAAGATGAAATAGAGGTAGAGGACACTAGGCCATCGTAGGCCATCACTATCTCAAAGCCCAAGCCAAGATAGCTAAAAAACCTCAGTTATGCTGGGTGCTTTCAAACATGATCGAACTCCATTTTCTTTTTCTTTTTATTCCACATTTTTTTTTATTTCAAAAGCTGCAGCAGAAAGGCGATGGTGGGTGTAAAATTGAGTTCCCATCATGCTTGATCACGATCCAAAGCACACTTTGTGACTGTCATATAGGTTGAACCAATCTTCATCACCACATTACATACAGGCTGTCCATGAGTAATCAACACCAAATCATTATTTTAAACGAGCTTATTAATTTTGTTTCAGTACCTTAAGCTTGAAAACTTTTTGTGCAACTTTTATTTATTTGATTATTTATTTATTTATTTATTTCAGTCCATTACAGCACGTGTAAAATAGGTAAGCAGGCAACAATGATGTTAGTTGAAGATTTCTCTCTTCGTGCAGCATAAGCAATTCTACAGAAACGTTCCACACCACAAAGCACAAAAAAATCAGATGAACTGAGCAGTTAAAAACCAATTCGTTGCCAGGGCTATGATTTAAAGCAAGAATACACCATCTGAAACTAGCTTTACGGCAATATGAGGTAGCTGTACTTCATAATGAGAAGTTTAGAAGATAGCCTGCTATAAAAAAATTAAAGGCTAGTGTTCACCTGGACTGTGGTGGCTCCAACAGGCTCAATGTCCTGCAGCAAGTGTGGGACCAGTCTCTCGACAATTGAGCTGAGGCCCAACCGAGATCGGATGGTCTGCAGCCACAAGGACAGTGCAGCATAGCATGCCTGTCGCAGCCGACTGCAAAGCACATAAGATGGGTGGTCAGAGACCAAGCCAACAGAGGAGATGTACTACAGCTCGTAAAATAACGGCACAAAAACGATAGACCAAAATATTGCTACGTGCCAGGGCATGGAGCTGAAGAAGACGAAGCAGATAGACTGGCACGAGCTAATCTGTGTGGCTGGCGCTGCTCGCCTAACCGTCTGTAAATACATCGGTGACTACCCCTCTGAGTCAGTCTCCTTCACGTAACATATTTGGTGGAGTTGTGCGATCCCCGTCCTCGCCACGGAACTCCGAAGCGGACGCTCACTCGCGGCTTACAACATGACCACCCAAGACTCGGCTACATCCTCTCCGGTCGCTCCCCCTTCTGCCCGACCTGTCAACCCAGCGCCCGCAACAACATTCGTGACGCTTCCCGCGCTCAAAGACCCCGGCGTGTTCTCGGGCAGCGAGGGTTCCGACGTCGACCAGTGGCTACGCCTCTACGAACGCGTCAGCGCCACTTACAGGTGGGATCCCACTCTTATGCTGGCAAACGTCATCTTTTATCTCGACGGAACACCTCGTGTTTGGTTTGATAACCACGAGCATGACATAACAAGCTGGGACAGCTTCAAGGCATGCAAGTGGGCATGGCATTGGTGCAGTGCTGGCTCAGAAACAACATGGCCATGATTGCGTTATTGCATATGCCAGCCGCCTCCTATCCGCCCCTGAACGTAACTATTCGATAACAGAGCGTGAGTGCTTGGCTCTTGTATGGGCGGTAGCGAAATTTCGACCTTATCTATACGGACGCCCATTTTCGGTAGTTACCGACCACCACGCACTCTGCTGGCTGAACTCTCTGAAAGATCCATCAGGCCGCCTTGGTCGCTGGGCTTTGCGCCTGCAAGAGTTTTCCTATTCGGTGGTCTACAAATCTGGCCACCTACACCGTGATGCCGATTGCCTCTCCCGGTACCCTGTCGACGATCCTGAGGACACTGACGAGCCCACGGAGAACTCTATCTTGTCAGTGTCCGACTTCCTTAATATTGGGGAAGAACAGAAGCGTGATCCAGAGCTGCTTGACATCATCAGCCATATGGAATCCTCCACAAATGATGCTTCCGTCCGCTACTTTGTCATTCAAAAGGGTGTGCTATACCGTCGCAATTTCCGACTAGACGGGCCCGACCTTCTCATTGTTGTGCCTAAGCATTTGCGCCGCTGTGTTCTCACCGAACTTCACGACGCTCCCACGGCTGGACACCTTGGCGTATCCCGCACGTACGAGCGCGTCCGGCGCCGTTTTTTCTGGCCAGGCCTTGCTCGTTCGGTACGCCGATACGTCGCCACATGTGACCTATGCCAACGTCGTAAGACACCATCGCTGCTACCCGCTGGCCATCTTCAACCAATTGACATACCCGCGGAACCATTTTACCGTGTTGGGTTAGACCTGCTTGGTCCTTTTCCCACATCAACATTGGGAAACAAATGGATAGCCGTTATCACAGACTACGCTACACGCTACGCTATTACGCGAGCTCTACCGACCAGCTGTGCAACCGACGTCGCTGACTTCTTGTTACGGGACGTTATATTGATTCACGGTGCGCCGAGACAGCTTCTCACAGACCGTGGCCGTACATTTTTATCCCAAGTCATCGCCGACATTCTGCGTTCTTGTTCGACGCAACACACACTGACAACCGCTTACCACCCTCAAACAAACGGCCTTACGGAACGATTTTAACCGCACTTTAACAAATATGCTCGCTATGTACGTGTCGCCCGACCAATGGGTGCTTTCAAACATGATCGAGCTCCATTTTCTTTTTTATCCCCCATTTTTTTTTTATTTCAAAAGCTGCAGCAGAAAGGCGATGGTGGGTGTAAAATTGAGTTCCCATCATGCTTGATCACGATCCAAAGCACACTTTGTGACTGTCATATAGGCTGAACCAATCTTCATCACCACATTACATACAGGCTGTCCATGAGTAATCAACACCAAATCATTATTTTAAACGAGCTTATTAATTTTGTTTCAGTACCTTAAGCTTGAAAACTTTTTGTGCAGCTTTTATTTACTTATTTATTTATTTATTTATTGTATTTCAGTTCATAACAACACGTGTAAAATAGGTAAGCAGGCAACAATGATGTTAGTTGAAGATTTCTCTCTTCGTGCAGCATAAGCAATTTTACAAAAACGGTCCACACCACTAAGCACAAAAAAAAAAAAATCAGATTAACTGAGCAGTTAAGAACCAATTCGTTGCCAGGGCTATGATTTAAAGCAAGAATACACCATCTGAAACTAGCTTTACGCCAATATGAGGTAGCCGTACTTCATAATGAGAAGTTTAGAAGACAGCCTGCTATAAAAAAAATAAAGGCTAGTGTTCACCTGGACTGTGGTGGCTCCAACAGGCTCAATGTCCTGCAGCAAGTGTGGGACCAGTCTCTCGACAATTGAGCTGAGGCCCAACCGAGATCGGATGGTCTGCAGCCACAAGGACAGTGCAGCATAGCATGCCTGTCGCAGCCGACTGCAAAGCACATAAGATGGGTGGTCAGAGACCAAGCCAACAGAGGAGATGTACTACAGCTCGTAAAATAACGGCACAAAAACGATAGACCGAAATATGGAGACTGTCCAGGTATCTCGGTGTTTGTGCGTCATTTTTCACACTGTTATTTTATTGTGATCATAAATAACCAACAATCCCGATTGAGTGCCACTGTGATGTATTGCAACGGAACACATGAGATGCTCAATTAACGAAACCATGCTCACAACAGGAAGCTTCCTTTATATCACGAATTTCATTCTGCAGGGATTCCTATGCCTCAAAAGTAAACAATCTCACAGCTTCCAAGGAAAGTTCTGGGCTCTATGTTAAATTGGTTAACCCACCAAAGTGGGGCAGCAAACAAAAGTGGAGTCACGAAACTTCTCCCCGAGTGAGTCGAGACAAAACTCGAAGCACATTAAAAAAAATTCCAGCTTTATTACATCCAAAGCATACAGTGGCTGCACTAACATGTATTGCAAAACTGTGACAGTACACATGTGGAAGTGGGAATGACTTGTCTGATTTTTCAAATTAGTGCGCAAGCATTTGTTGTAACGATTGAACCCAATTGAACACTAGAAGAGTGAGTTGGTCCTGAATCCCAATTTGTACTTGGAAAAAAATGCACATACAGTAGAATCTCAATGATACAAATTCGAAGGGAGCTCGCAAAATATTCCTATCATCCCGAATTCATACGAACCAAAAACTAGTTAAAGCTTGTGGGAATCGAGGCTAGCCCGCCGCCTTTGCGCGGGCTTTGCTGCCTCTTTCTGTGTTCTCATGCCCCGACATGACTCTCCTCTCCTTCGCGGTCTGCTGTGCTGGGAGAGGGGAGTGACGTTTCACCCCTCTCACCCGGTAACGGATCTCGACTGTGGCACCGTGCGCAAAATCTCTCGGGAGAGAGAACCTCCCCGGGTCCACATGGGGTAAGCACTGTTTCTTTCCCGTTCATCGGTTCCCATTGTTTGAAGCTCGTTCGAACTTTGCCAACAGTGCCTTGCACCCGCGGCGAACGCTTACCTTTTGTCGCCCCCCTTCCGAACGCTAGGCCGAAGAGCAATGTGATGTCCTTCATCATCATCATCATCATCATCATCATCAGCCTGACTACGTCCACTGCAGGACAAAGGCCTCTCCCATGTTCCACCAGTTAACCCGGTCCTGTGCTTGCTGCTGCCAATTTATACCCGCAAACTTCTTAATCTCATCTGCCCACTTAACCTTCTGTCTCCCCCTAACCCGCTTGCCTTCTCTGGGAATCCAGTCAGTTACCCTTAATGACCAGCGGTTATCCTGTCTACGCGCTACATGCCCGGCCCATGTCCATTTCCTCTTCTTTACTTCAACTATGATATCCTTAACCCCCGTTTGTCCCCTAATCCACTCTGCTCTCTTCTTGTCTCTTAAGGTTACACCTTCCAGTTTTCTTTCCATTGCTCGCTGCGTCGTCCTCAACTTAAGCTGAACCCTCTTTGTAAGTCTCCAGGTTTCTGCTCCGTAGCTAAGTACCGGCAAGATACAGCTGTTATATACCTTCCTCTTGAGGGATAGTAACAATCTACCTGTCATAATTTGAGAGTGCTTGACGAATGTACTCCACCCCATTCTTATTCTTCTAGTTACTTCAATCTCGTGGTTCGGCTCTGCAGTTATTACCTGCCCTAAGTAGACATAGTCTTTTACAACTTCAAGTGCACTATTACCTATCTCGAAGCGCTGCTCCTTTCCGAGGTTGTTGTACATTACTTTCGTTTTCTGCAGATTAATTTTAAGACCCACCTTTCTGCTCTCCTTGTCTAACTCCATAATCATGAGTTGCAATTCGTCCCCTGAGTTACTCAGCAATGCAATGTCATCGACGAAGCGCAGGTTACTAAGGTATTCTCCATTAACTCTTATCCCTAACTGTTCCCATTCTAGGCTTCTGAAAACCTCCTGTAAGCACGCGGTAAATAGCGTTGGGGAGATTGTGTCCCCCTGCCTTACACCCTTCTTGATTGGCATTCTGTTGCTTTCTTTATGAAGCACTATGGTAGCAGTTGATCCCCTGTAGATTTCTTCCAGAATGCTTATATATACTTTATCTACGCCCTGATTCCGCAGTGTCTGCATGACGGCTGTCCTTGTGGCGGTGTCCTTGTGCGTGGTCAAACTGCGCCGACCCGTATCTCTTCGAAGCCAATGCGAGGTGCCTTTTCCCTCGCTCGAGCAACCGGGCCCTTTGTCCAGGTGTCACCGTGAATCACTTTTGCCCACGGAGATGTGCTCGCGGCATCCCTGTGTAGTACTTCTCGCCCGTGGCATGGATAAGTCCACTTGCTTTCCCACCGCGCCTTTTTGCAACGGGCTCTGTTCTGTACTGCGTTTTGGTGTTGCCACAGACAATAAAATGTTGCGACATTGAGCAGCCCCGTGTTCTCGCCACGACGACGGTTCACATGTGCCCTATGGCTCGCTAAGACCAAACCCCCACAAGTGGACGCGTACTCCTTTGAGATGCATGTACACTACAAGCTGATCATGAAGATGAACAGGAAGTTTATTGGGGTCAACTACAATTTGCTAATAAGTCCATGATCTTCTTTTGAACTCTCCTACCTTCACTGCGTCAAAGAGCCACGGTTTTCTCACTCATGCTGCTGGCACTTAAAGCACATTCACACTTATCATTAAAGGGAGAGAAAGTGGCAATGCTAATTGGAAATTCACTCGCTTCGCTGCTTAAGCGGCCGGAAAAACACGTTGCGATGTCGACTTGCAAAGAATCAGTCACACGGGAGAATTCAAGCGAAAACGCCAGAGCTGACGTGAAACCACGTCCGTGCCCACCGCAAATTGTTCACAGTCGTTCTGCCTACCGCCGCCGCCTTCGCCACTTGGGAATTCATTCCATTTTGGACAGTTTCCCGAGCATTAATATTTGTACCGAGTTCTAGTTATGCATGCAAAGCACTCAAAAGAATCAGTCTACAATGATATGAACGCTGTTTCGGGAGATACACCAGCAGAAACGACATGAGCAGACGCACCAGCAGTGGCGGCGATGTATTCAGCTGGGAGTACAAAAGCGAGTGCGACACGTTGGGGCAGGCAGACTCGCTGCTGCTGCACCTTCTTCTACTTCCGGTGTTTGCAGGGATCGTAATCATAACCAAACTCTCGATAATGTGTCCTTGTCAAGGCCGTAAGCTTTCTCGTACTGCACGAGTTGTTTGCGATTGCGCCGACGTGAGCCCCCGCCGAGGCCTTGTAGTGTACACGTATCCCGAAGGAGTGCGACCACTAGCATGGGTCTGGTCTTAGTGAGCCGTAGGGCACGCATTAACCGTTGTAGGGCACGCATTAACCTTGGCGAGAACACAGTACTGCTCAAGGTCGCAACACCTTATTGTCTGTGGCAACACCTAAACGCAGTACAGAGCCCCTTGTGAAAAAGCGCAGCGGAAAAGCAAATGGGCTTACCCATGCCACGGGCGAGAAGTACTACACAGGGTGCCGCGAGCACGTCTCCGTGGTAAAAGTGATTCACGATGACACCGCGACAAATGGCCCGGTTGGTTGAGCAAGGGCAAAGGCGCTCGCGTTGGCTTCGGAGAGATACGGGTCGGTGCAGCCTGACCACGCACTAGGACGCTGCACCACTCTTCAGCCTAGTGTTCGGAAGGAGGGGCAACAAAAGGTAAGCGTTTGCCACGGGCGCAAGGCGCTGTTGGCAAAGTTCGAACGAGCTTCGAACAATGGGAGCCAACTGACGGAAAAGAAATGCATGCTTACCCCATGTCGTCCCGGAGAGGTTCTCCCTCACTCCCGACACGTGGGCAGAACATCCCGAGAGACTCTGCGCGCGACGCCACAGTTGACATCCGCTATCGGTTGAGAGGGGTCGAACGTCACTTCCCACTGTCCGAGCATGGCAGACCACGGAGGAGGGGAGTTATGTGGGGACATTAGAACGCAGAAAGAGGCGGCAATGCTCGCGCAATGCGGCGGGCTAGCCTCAATTTCCACAGACTTTGCCACCATGTTGAATTTCCGGCTCGTTGACACCACAAGGCTTGAGACCTAGTGCAGTTAGTGTAGCCCAAGCCGAAGCAAACAGGCAGTATGCTATACCGTGGCATAAAAATTGGTCTTGGGCGGACTTTTTGCGTCAGCCTCAGGGCATGGTTTTCCGGCCACTTAGGTGGTGAAGCGGGGGAAATGCCCATGAGTTTTCCTGCGTTCACTCTCTTCGAGGCACGGTGTTGAATGGGCCTTCCAGTAATATGATTGACTTGATCTGTTTTGGATCAGATTTTTGGAGCAGCAAAAGTGCATTTTGGAGCAGAAAAAGAATTTGAAGCCGCCAAAAATAAGTCTTAGAGCGGGACAAACGGCTTTAGGAGCAACCAAAAATGCATTTTTGAGCTGGTTAAGGCTCACTGCCAAGTGGGACACAGACCGTGTGAAGCAAAGCAGTGAACTAAGGAGGAACGCTCTTGAATGAAGTTCTGTGCAATAACGGATGTTTGGAGATGTTTGTATGACATCATAGAATATTAACCCAACCTAATTTTAAACCTTCCAGTGCATTTTTAATACGGGATGCAAGCAACTACGAATTGGTGCTGCATTCTGGCCGCCGAAATAATGTAAGAGAGCAGTTATTATTGAATCACAAATAAATCACTAGGACTTTTTTTTAGTGAAGACTAGCAGCACTGTTCTATTTTTTTCATTGCAGAAGAACTATTTTCTAGATGGTTGCCTTCATGCCTCACATCTTGTCAAGGGCTGCAGAGAGTTGTGTTTTTCCTTCACCAAGCAAGGACTGGCACTACAGATGCGCTCGAGTCTCGGTCTAATACCTGGTGTGAGCACGGTGGTCGCCGGAAGAGTTTCAGTTTTTAGAGGTCGCGGAAACGCTAATCTATGAGGCTTTCATTGTCTCAGAACAATCATAGACGCTTGTGGCGGTACAAAGCACG